TACTTGCCTGCATCAAGAGCTGGAATGGCATGGCTCCGACCATTTTTGCACACAAAGGTGTTACTTGGAAATTTAACCCGCCAGGCGCACCCCATCATGGCGGCTCCTGGGAACGCCTCGTCCGAAGCGTGAAGCGCGTGCTGTACGATATCCTAGGCAGTAGGCGAGTCACTGAAGAGGTGTTAGGAACAACACTCTGCTTAGTTGAACAGGCTTTGAATTCGAGGCCAATCACTTCCGTTAGTACCGATTCACGTGAGTTAGAAGCGTTAACCCCAAACCATTTTTTGCTTGGACAACATGCCACAAGCTTTCCTTCGCTTTTACCCGGGGAGCACTTCGATCACAAGAAAAGGTACGTGCGAGCGCAGTCATATGCTAACGCGATTTGGTCTCGTTGGCTTCGAGAATATGTTCCCTCGCTGAATAAGCGTGTCAAGTGGCACACTCATTCTGACTTCACTCTTAAAACAGGCGATCTCGTGTGGGTGATTGAGCCCGATAGTCCGCGTGGGTACTACCCTCTCGCCCGAATCGTCAAGCTAAACTACGGACAGGACGGTTGCGCCCGATCCGCCCTTGTCAGGACCGCAACCCGTGAAGTCACGCGGCCGACCGTTAAGCTCGCTCCGGTTCTTCCTTCTTCAGGGGGGGAGGATGTTGCAATGCAAATGTAGAGTATAGAATGTAGAGTATAGATGCATATAAAACAATAGTATAAATGCATAAAACTGAACCAAAATGTAACAACAATAAGCACAGTTGGCCGAGTGGCCTAAGCTAACGCCGATTATATAGGTTAACAGTTGACGTAGGTTCGAGTCCCCCACCTGCCCATGTATTAATATACTAAAAACGGGGGTTACATCCTATTTTAACTGTTTTTTGGTTCTAATTCGGTTCAGCCTTGATTAAGGTTGACCGCCAAAAAGAGCAATTTGTCTCAAGGACATTACCGACCGGTCCTTGTGGCTAGCTTGCGCCGATTTGTACCAAAAACGCTCAGATGCTAAAAATGTTATATGATGTTCTGATCAATAGAAAAATGCCGAAATTATTTTATTGACCGAGTTATTTGCCGAGAAATATCTCTTACTAATTTACGGATTTGGAACAGTTTTTTTGGAGATTAGCGAGCATAAAAGTTGCAGACCAAATTCATTTTGTTTTTCTCCAAGAACGAAGATGATTTTGATTCAGTCAGAAAAGACTCGCGAATGGTTCAACTTTTGCGCTACATAACACAATTGACAAATGAAGTGGTCGTTTGTGTCGATAAATCCTACGCCGATCGTCTGTCTGTGAACGTTGAAAAAGTTCGGGTGAAAAGTTCTCGGAGACAGGAGTACAAATTGGCGAAAAAAGAAGTTCAACACGAAAGCTGTGAATTGAGATCGCTGGGAGCCCACGTACTAAACCTGCCTATCAATGCTAAATGCCACACCTCAGAAAATACCCTCATGATTGTGACTTTTGAAGAAATTGAGGCAACAATTCAGGGGGAATTTTTCACAAAATGTGGCACAGTGATCGAACTGCAACCGCTGCTGTCTGGCCTGTCAATATCCGACCTATCAAACATTTGCGATGATTTCAAGCACATATATATTCAACAAGTCCATCCGCAAGATTACGTTGATTTCGGAAAAGATGTCGACGCAAATCTGGAACGGAAACAACTAAACTTCAAAATGGCTGCTGAAGAAATAGCAATATTTTCCCTAATTTTGTACGTAGTGAAAACCGAACTACCCGAAGTTTACAAAGTTATTAAAAACTATTATTCCTCAAACCCTGAAACGACTCGCCAGCTTTGGGAAAGGGATTTATTATTTGACAAGGATTCGATTTTGAATGTGATCCAGAAAGACAAATTGAATCAGTTAAATGAAAATGTCAAAAAAACGGTAAATGGTAACAACCCTATAGAGAAATTTCTACTCTGGCAGGCTCTGAAAGACTCCAACCATCTTTCTAAAAAAAGAGCGAAAAAGTTTTTTGCTCAAACTTCGTGTAGACAAATTAAAGAAATAGCTGACGAAAAGTTTAAAGGGTATGTTTATGGGAACAATACACAAAGTCGACTGTCGGAAGTTGCCAGTAAAATTAATTACCAACGAACACCGAAATTGTTGAAAACATGTATAGATCAGTTCATTTTGGATATGAAGTCACTGGTACAGCCGTGTACTGGAACCCCCCTGCTCAAAACTGTCTGCCGAAAATTAGATTCGGAAGAGTGTTATCACTTCAAAGAAAAAGAGATACGCGATCGAACTGTAAAAAATTTGACAATTTGTTTAAAACAGCAATTTCAACATCAATAAAAACATCGGAGAAAGGATCAACAGGAACTTTGGTGCAAATTAGAACTGGAAAACAAAGTTCAGCAACAAAAATAACGTTTTTCGAATGCGACTATCAAACAAGTACAAATCTGCCGGCTAAAAACTGCCTAGCTCTTCGTCAAGCAGGACTTAGTAAGCAAGAAAACAACCGCTTAATTTCCGAAGACCAATCAATTAAACTAGAATCATTCACATTCCATAAACTATCGGAGACAAGTATTAACAAATACACAGAGGTTCACTCGATTCACTTCATTGATAAGACAAAAGCTTTGATGATTTTTAACGAACAAGAATCAGCGAAAGTTATTGTCTACCAAGTTAATAACTTGTCTAAGGAAATTGTTTCGATTTCATTTGGGCATAAAGTTGTCCGGAGCTCATTTGATAGCAGAAACCGAGTACTCGCGTTTAGCACTGATCAGCGCACGGGAACAGTTAGCTTTATACGTTTCTCCAACGAGTACAGTACTCGAGAAAGTCTGCCCAACCTAGATATCCAAAATTTGCTTCGGATTGAAAATGTCAGTACACTAGAGTTTTGCGCACAGCCGAATAGTAGTAATCTGTGGGTCCTGGTTCCGGGGGTGTTACGAAAAATTGACTACTTACAGCGCAAAATGTTGGGCAAAGCTATCAAATGCAAAATAGGTGAGACTAGCCTAAAGTGTTCTCCAGACGGTGGCTGTTTGTTCCTAATTGATAATAAAGGAACTGCAGTTCCAGTGATGACAGCGACAGGAAACGAAATGCCAACGGTTGAAAACGTCGGAAAAAACGTTCAAATGTTCTATTTACACGACAGACTGCTTGCTGTACAGCAAGAGGCAAATAAACTAGAATTCGCCCAGCTATTTTTGACAGGAGAGCAGCACGAAACGAAGCTACATAAGGTAGCATCGCATTCAAAAACCAAACATGATCTTCATGAGTCCGACACTGTCCAGTGGCATTGGTTAAATTACATATATTTGATGTTCACGAAATTCCCCTGCGATGATTTGCTATCACTAAATCAGTCTAAACTGAACATATGGATCAAAACAGTCGAAAGCGATTCGACATTGATGTCGAACTTGGTATCTGAGATCAACTCAATTTACAATAGACGGAAAGTGACCCATAAACCGGTTGAGTTTTTGAAGATCCATTGTAAAAACTTGGCTCTATCTTCAATCCACATTGAATCAGAGTCACTACAACTGGGGCAATTTCTCAAACAGCTGATATGCTTTGTTCCAGTTCAAATTGCACGCTGTCAGTCAAACGCGTTCATTGCATTTAATAACGGGACCCCAGTTTTATTCGACGACGTCAAAAATGCTCACGATTTGACAGGGAAAATAAAATTTGGATTTTACGAGAGCATATTGAATGTGTGGAAAGGTCACATTAAAGTTATTTCTTCTATGGGAAAGCAGACTACAGGAAAGAGCTACACTCTGAACCATTTGACAGGGTCCTCTTTCAACATAGCTGGAACCAGATGCACCGACGGATGCTGGATGACAATGAAAGAGACCAAGGACTGTCTCTATGTCATTCTAGACTTTGAGGGTTTGGGCAGCATTGAAAGAAGCGAACAGGACGACATGCTTCTGTCTCTATTCAACAGCTCCATTTCAACCGTGACCATTTTTAAAACTGAGAAACGCTTGGACAGAGAAGTTGACAAAATGCTCAGCAAAATAAATCTAGGAAGCAGCCAGATGAAGGAAACGGCAAAAACGTTCAAAGGAAAGTTCACAATCATCATTAATGATGTTGCAGATCATGATGTCGATGATACTCCGAGCGAATTTGAGGAGAAAATTAACAAGATCATTGCAAGAAGTGAGAACAATTTCCTTAAGAATTTGTACAACGGTGAGTTCAGTATCTTCCCTTTTCCCACATTTGAGACCAAAGACTACTATGAAGACACTTCCGAATTGCTGTCAATAATCAGAGATGAAATTGATTCCTTGTTTCAAAGTGGTTCTGAGTTTCTCGATACAATGAAACTCCTCATGTCCAAAATAGCCACGAAAGACTTCTCACCTCTGGACCGCCAGCAAATTGACAAAAGAATCCGTTTTCTCAGATCAACCTTGCCGTTTGCTGTCAGCCATGGCCAAATGTCAGCTGACTTGCCAAAGCGAATAGAACTTGAGTTGAAAAATCAAGATGACGTTTTATTCAACATTCCACTGGATAAACGGATAAATTTAGTTACTGTAGGTGAAACCTTGTTGATTGATAAAGAAACGACTTTCAATGAATCCCACTTAGAGAACTTTGTCCAAACTTACTTGCGTATCTCCCAAATCACAGCTGAGAACTTCATGGTCTGGCGTGCGGATCTGGAACAGTTTGTGTACGAATGTATTGATTTACGGTTCGAACGTGTAAAACTGTGGATAGAATGCAATTTGAAAAAATGGAAAGATGCGAATAACTCGGAGTTTCTTGATTCGATCAATGCTGTTATTGAAAATGTGGACACATTGCTTCTAAGTTACCACCAAATATATAAGTTCTGCAATGAACAGTGCGCAAACTGCTTCCTAAAGTGCACTAAAATTACAAACCATAGGACTGCTGCTCATGAGTGCTCCACATATCACAAATGCCCCAGCAGTTGCAAGTTTTGCGCCATAGACGGCGAACAAAACAGATGCAGCCTAGCATTTGGCCACAGTGGGGATCATTTGTGCGCTGTCACTGTCCATTTATGCCGTGAACCGTGTCGTTTTTCTACTTTGAATGGCTGCAAATCTGTGTGTCAGAATGAAGTAATTCACGAAGGTAACCACGAATGCGCTCAGAAAAAACATAATTGCAAAGGAGTTTGCTCTCTCGGCAGTTGCGGCGGTAGATGCGTGATCGATTGCGAAGATAAACACACTGTGCACAAATGCACTAAAGAACAATGCATAGAAAAGTGTTCTATTCAAACGTGTACCAACAAATGTTCGGCACTAGATCATTTCCATGGGTTAGAGTTGTCCCAGTCATTCAAACAGGAGAGAGGCATTTCAGATGAAGCGCCTTTTTTGTTGCCAGATGGGAAAAAAAGGAATTATTCTATGGAACACTTCTGTGGAAAAGAGCACCAATGCGATTTTGACTGTCAGCACGATGGGTTTTGTCGAGTCTCAGCTGAGAAGCTACTAGAAAACGAAAAATTTGAAGGCAAGCGAGACACGTTCATGTACAGCGTCATCTTTGCTGAGAAAGGCGAAAAACTCAAATGCCGTCAACGTCTACAACCATTTAAGAGGAAACATGTCGGATCTCACTCCTGCTCAACGGAAATACATGTTTGCCAGACAATTTGCCCAACATGCGAAAACATTTGCAACAAGCCAGTCAACCATGAGTTTGAAGAAGACTATTTGCACGATGCACGTCATGGCAACATGCGCAAATGCTATTTTGTGGCAAATGATGACGACATTCAAGTGGGATCTCGTAAATACAGAGTCGGTGAGCCAGCAGTTGCAGAGATATGTCACATATTCTGTAAGACAATGGGAAGAGGCCATATGCACATTGTGGAATGCGGAAAACAATCGAAAGAGCAGTGCTTCGATACAGATGGCAGACAACATCAGACTACTACTTACCATCCGAACCCCACAATTCCCAAGGACGAAATGACGCACGAAGCATACTGGCGAACAATTGGATTCAAGGATCCGTGTCAAGAAATAGACTCCGAAGACTTCGGAAAATGTCCGGCTTTTTGCTCTTCCATTTTACACGAAACCGATGAAGATAAGGTTTTCTGCGAACTATCAATGTGGCACAGTCCAGTTCAATTACTCGACGACGTGAGTAGAACGACGGGGTTCAT